CGGAGAAGTTCTACGCACTGCCCCTGACGCGAACGTGAACTGCGAAAGACATAAGAAAAGCTAAAAGGTATCTATTCGTTGACCCACTCATACACGCCCCTCGGCACCTATTTCCACCAGAGAATTCCTAGGTATTTGTCGCGGCTTCGACCTTCCCCACAATATTGTACCGTTTGCTAAAGAAGGTGAACCACTCCTCCAGGACAGCTTTCTCTTTATCAGGCAAATCTTCCCACTCCGGTCTACAGTCTTCCGGTTTCAGTGACGAAGAGGCTAGCGCTCGCGAAGCGTCTTTCCCGGCGAATACTATACGACGAAAGAATGTGAATCAGCACTCCATCCAGAACATGTCATTACAATTTATACTTGTAAAAGGGCAGGGCACCAAAAACATACCGTGATAATTACCACCCGGTCCGTAAGCAGGGTTCCCGGAGACATTGAAGACCACGCCCTTAATCGCAACGAGGGTAGCGCGGTTTGGATCAGTACCTAATGGCGGATGCCAGATATCAGTCCACTCAATTCATTTTTCGTAGATAGTATTGATTCTTGTGACAGCCCAAAATATGCAAGGAAGAGAGGCAAGATAAAGAAGAAACAATTGGCGATTTTGCGACTGCAGCTGTAAGCTGTTTCACTAACGCGTGTGGTGATTTACATACCATCCGATTTGCTCAGTTCCTCTACAGAAATTGGATCATATTTTGGCGGATCGAGGTTGGTCGCCTCCTTAGACATAATGCCTTTGGCCGTCATGGTATAGTCGTTTCCCGGTGTCCCCCGCCCGAGCTGGTTACAGATAGACACTGCTGTGGTGCTGCGCTGGTTTTTTCAAGCTCGGATTCTTGTTCTTTGGCGGGGAAGTCCATCACGTGGATGCGGGCCAAGGCCGCTGGGCTGTGTTTGGACGTTATCGGGAAGAACTTGATGAAGACGTCGACAGGACTACAAACTTCAAGAGACTATCATTCCTATGTTGATACGGGAGCCGATTCAACTACTTCTATATTTTGTATTCAAATGCGGGGCCAATTCGCGTGCTTTCATCCAACACCGTGGTTGTTGCCTTGGATCTTATGAAATCACTTTTCGCGAATGAGAACGCACCTCCCATTCGTCCTTCACTCTCCGCCAAATCTCCCTCCTTGCTTTTTTTTCCTTCTTCCGCGTTGATGGCAATGGCCCGTTCCTAAATGCCAAAGTCTGGTCAAGTCCTTTGGGTTGGCAATGTCAGCTAACTGACCAGAACCAAGGAACCTAGCGAAAGCCTCTTCAATGCTTCTCTAAGTCTTCGGTCCGCGGACTGCTACTTGGGTTGAGCTCAAATATTACATGAAAATTATCTTGACATCGATTCACCGACTTTGTGACTTGACTCCTGGCTGTGCAGCAATACCGATATTATTCCGAGAACACCGATATCAGGATTTGTTCGCCTTCTTCTCGTTGCTTGACGGGCAGACACAGCAACACGAGTGGCAGGCTCATAATGTGGG